GTATCATATCGTGGCCTATATATGGTATAGATGTATGTATCGTATCAGCAACTTTTTAATGATACCCAGCCCTAATCATGGCCATGTTGTATTTGACTATTGTTATGTATTTGTACATAAAACTTAGCAGTCACCATGGAGACAAGAACAGGGTAGCCACGGGGTCTTAAAAGTCTTAAAAAGATCTTAAATTTCATGTTCCTAAATTAAGGCCTTAAAAAGTTTTAAATTATGTTGTCCAAGTCTTATTTTTTTCACAAAGGTCTTAAATTTCATTAGCATTTTATTTTTTTATTTTTTTGTATACTTATCTGGACTGTAGTGCGATGTTAAATGGAGGGAGGAAAAAAAACACAACATGAAATCACATAAGGTGAATGAACGTCTAATTTAGAGTATGCACAAACAATACTTTGGTTTCTGGCGCCAGCAGCAATGAGTAAACAATCAGTACAGTGGAAGACGCTGGATGGATCATGGGGGAGTGTAGGTTTAATCCACAGTGGCTCTTAGATTTTAAATATGGTAGTTGGTTGGTCATTATTAGAATTGAATCTGGTGTTTTTTGCCTGCATAATGGCTGTGATGTTGGTTTTAATTTTCATTTAAGTGGTCTTAAAGGTCTTTTAAAAAGTCTTAAATTTGGGGTAGTCAAACCTGGGGATACTCTGAAGAAGGTGGATCCACAAAAATAAAAATACAATAAAATCATATGTAATTTTGTTAATTAAAAACTTGCTAAGTTTAATATCTGTACTCTACTGTGGAACATTCCAACCAAAGCAATCTCACTCTCATCATTTCATATATAGAGCACCTTTAACAGAATAATAAAAGAAAAAAAATAGCTGGATTTACGTATTTTAAACTCAAGCTTCTATTATGATCAGTATCAAAACTAGTTAAAAACTGAGGCTAGGTGCAAACAAACCAGGACAAAATGTGTCTGGCTACACAAGTTTTAAATCTGAAGTTAGAAGTTAACAAATAATCCTACTCTAATCAAGAACTAAACCTGGTTATAGGGTCTGAACCAGGACTATATCAGGACTACACAAAGACCAAACCACATCTAAACTATGCATATTCCAGAAACTTGAGTTCAAATAAATCATTTCTTGAACTCCAAATGAGCCTCCTGCCCCAGTTTGTAATGCGCTGGTGTGAAAGATTGAATGAATTTAGCAGCATGGACAGAGCTACTAAAACTGCTGACTGCTGACTGGGTGACCCCTCATATTCTCTCTATTGGAGCGACAATATGTTTCGCCAACACACACACACATACACACACACACACACACAGCAAAAGCTACAGGGGTGAGGGGAGAGTCATACAGAGCAGGTTATTACTGCAAAGAGCCCTGTAATTTTCTCTGTGTCGCCGGGCGGACCCCACGCTGGGGGCAATGACAACGCATTAACCGTTAAACAAGACACCCAAGACCCCAGGGCGCAGAGAGAGAGAGGGAGAAAGAAGGAGGGAGAGGAGGAGGAGGGTGGGTGAGAAGAAAGTGAGTAAAGAGGTGTAGATGAGGGAAAGACCGGGGGAGATGGATGAAGAGAGAGAGAGGAGAAAAAAGTCAGGGAAGAGAGTGTAGAGGTGTGTACTGCGAGGGAGTGAGAGATAGGAAAGGGATGAAAAGGAGAGGAGGAAGAGAAAACGGGGGATAGATAGAGAAGAGGGGGATGACGGAATAGTTTGGAAAGAGAGAGAAGAGGGGGTTGGTGAGAAGGAAGTGAATAAAGAGATGTAGATGAGGGAAAAAGAAGGGGGAGATGGAGGGAGAGAGAGAGAGGAGAAGAAAGTCGGGGAAGACAAGAGATCAAGAGAAGGGAGAGAGAGAGGAGGGAGGTGAAGAAAGTGTGTGCGTAGTGCGAGGGAGTGAGAGATAGGAAAGAGATAGAAAGGAGAGGAGGAAGAGAGAAGCGGAGGTAGATAAAGAAGAGGGGGATGACAGGGAATAGTTTGGAGAGAGAGAGAAGAGGGTGTCTGTGAGAAGGAAGTGAGGAAAGAGATGTAGATGAGGGAAAGATAGGGGGAGATAGCGGAAAAGAGAGAGAGGAGAAAAAAGACGGGGAAGAGATTATAGAGGCGGGAGAGGGGGAAAAGAGAAAGAGAGGGGAGAGAGAGAGAGGAGGGAGGTGAGAAGGAAGTGAAGAAAGTGTGTGCGTAGTGTGAGGGAGTGAGAGATAAGAAAGAGATGGAAAGGAGAGGAGGAAGAGAAAAGGGGAGATAGATAGAGAAGAGGGGGATGACAGGGAATAGTTTGAAGAGAGAGAGAAGAGGGGGTTAGTGAGAAGGAAGTGAGGATAGATGTAGATGAGGGAAAGATGGAGAGATGGTGAAAAAGATAAGATAACCTGAGATAAGAAAGAGATAGAAAGGAGAGGAGGAAGAGAAAAGGGGAGATGAGAGAGAAGAGGGGTTTGGTGAGAAACAAGTGAGGAAAGAGATGTAGATGACGGAAAAAGAGGGGGGAGATGGAGGGATGGAGAGAGAGGGTGACGGGAGAAGAAAGTCAGGGAAGAGAATATAGAGGTGGGAGAGGAGGAGGAGCAAAAAGAGGAGTGACTGGAGAGTAGAATAGGAGAAAGAATGGGAGTGTAGTGCGTGGGAGTGAGAGATAGGAAAGAGATGGATGGGAAAGGAGGGAAAGAGAAGGGGAAAGGGAGACAGAAGAGGGAGATGACAGGGAATAGCATTTAGAGAAGAGAACAAGAGTGAGGGAAGAGGTGGACAGGGAGCATAGACTGTATAAAGAAGTGGACAAAGGGACTGTGACGTCAGGCATAGTGTTCGGCTCCAGTCAAATGAAGCTCACAGAGGCTGGCAGTTACAGGAGCGAATTTGGAGCCGAGTTTCATATTAGGAATAGTTATTTCATATTCGGAATAGCAAAATAAAAGCACGAGGATTATGTAGAGAGGGTTAATATGAACATTTTAAGCCGAAAATGGCGAGGCTCACTGCAGTTACAAAGAGAAGGGCGACATTTTTCAATACAAAGTGAATTGGAGCCGGAGTCAATGGAGCCGGAAGCGTGCCTGTGCTCACTTCCTGTCGGGAACGTGGTGACTAGCAGGTCCATTTCTATATACAATCTATGAGAGAGATAGAGCTGGGAAAGAGAATGAGGAGAGGATAGGAAAGACCAGCCACACTACTACTAGACTACTACTACTACTACTACTACTACTACTACTACTACTACTACTACTAGACCGTCTAGTGTCTCCGCTCAATTTAATTTCTCTCCAGCGATTAGGTCAGGAATCACAATACACTAGACAGTTTGCAAAAACCCTGGAAGTGCGAGTTCGGGCACCAGCCAATCAGCGAAGAGCCATATATTTTGTTTTGTCAACGGTTCCGAGATCGAGGATTTAAAGCCGGAATAAAGAGAATGTTTGGTTTTATCAAGGGGAAAGACGTTATTGACCTTCTTCCTACAGGATTTGGGAAAAGCTCAATATGCCAGTTACCGGCCCATTACATACTGTACGTCACGACCAAATAGCAGCGATTGGTTAAGTGAAAAAAAGTACCCGCCGACTGTCAAGCAAACGAATCCTAATGCTGCGAGGTCAGATGGTTTCCATGAAGTGAAACCGTCTGATGAATCAGGCTAAGGAAAGACAGGATGGAAAGTGGAAAGAGGAGGCATAAGGCATCTTGAAGCGGAGCATATAAGAAAAATGAAACTGGAAAATGGACTTGGAAATGGAAGAGTAGAGGATAGATAAATCAACCGACTGTCCACAGAGAACTGCACTTAGCCATTAACGCAACAATAAAGGCACTGATTACACAGGAAAGTCATTATAAATGTCCGATAATGATATTAAATAATGTGACTAAACACTATATTGCATGATCAGATATTACATTTCTACATGTATAAATCCTGTTTAAAAAATAAAAAACAGTTGTTGCTAAATATATGAGTATATGATATTTGAAAACTCCATAAACCCATTCTATCAAATTCATTTATACCATATGTGCGGCGATTATAGAGCAACATTTTATCTGACATTGAGATAAAAAAAAAAAAAAAAGAGAGAGATGATACTTGCAAAGAAAGAAAAGATGTTGGCCTCAAATTTCAATCTAATGTACCTGAAACCTTTGACAAGACCTAAAATTGGGCAGTGCAAGAAATCAAATGACTGACAGCTGCATGTCAAACGCACATCTATAAATATTTCACAGAGATGGAATATATTTAAGACACGTTTACATCAATCCACTCTGACAGTCAAACTAAGCTTAGTTTCTAAATAGGAAAATCAATATGAAAATCTTTCTTTATAGTAAAAGTGGAAATATTCTGTGTGAACTTAAACGGATTTGGAAATTTAAATACATGAACACTGCAATTAGAATAAATTAAAGGTGAACTATGTATTTTTTTCTGGTGGTGTGCTTTGCCTCGAATGTTTCATAGTCTGGCATTCAACATAATCATTTTTGTTTGATTTTTGTTGCTGAAAATACTTTGAAAAACACACATCTCCACAGATCTGACCTGATACATGTTTAAAGTCACATCTAGGCAATAACATCTCCATGGAGACAAACAAGAAGGCAGGGAAAGTTACAAAATGCAAGTTTAAAATGAATCAATACCTACTTTATATGCAGCAAAATCAGTCTATACAAATTCGCAGTATGTTCAGATCCATTGTTCTGAATACATTTGTCCATTATCTTCTGCCTCTCTGCTCTTCTCACGTTTAAACCGGTGTCATTTAAGATCACACTCTGACACTTAAAAGCACGGGAGCTGACAGGTGATACAGACTCTTTAAAAGGTGTGAAAAAGCAATTTGTTTATCGTGAACAGATGAAATGCATTGTGGGGGCTGTATGCATAAGCTCATAATGGCACGTGTCTTATAGTGCTCTTTGGTTTGGCGTCTGATGGAGGTTTATTACTCGTTTGGCAAAGATTACACTTAGAAATATAACATGTTGGGGTTTTTTTGTCTTTCAGGAGGTTATCCTAAAAAGAGCAGCAGATCTGGTAGAAGCGCTCTATGGCCTGCCCCACAACAACCAGGTACTTATATTTTACTTATTTTATTTTTAGGTATTAAGTTAAAAAACACCAAATAAAGACCATGGAGACCTGTTGAACTATTTTAAGTACTAGCAGGTCACTTTATATGCAATAATGTTTTTATTTTCACTATGGAGATGTTCTGTTTTGAGATACATGAAGCCAGGACTGTGGTGAAACTTGGGACCCTTAATTGTAACATTTCCATTAAATACAATAAAATGTCAGCACCTTACTGTATAGCTTTAGCGTATATCACGTTCAAAATAATAAAGAAAGGAAAAAGTATCACTTGCTATACTTTCTATCTTTAGAACTATGGGACCACAAGTCTTCTCCATCTATAAGGAACAAACAGGAACCTTAAGCTAAATCCAAAAAGCTTTCTTTACTGTAACTCTGCCTAAAACAACAGTGAAGTTAACAGCACTGTGACAAATGAGCCAAGTTGTGTCATTCACAGACATTCCTTCACTGACTCACACAAAATGAACAGTGTGGATTTATGACTTGAGGAAATGGAGAGTTAAAAAGTCATTTAGCACATGTTTAATTGTGACCTCACCTCGTGCCTGTTGTAGGAGATCATTCTGAAGCGCGCGGCGGACATCGCAGAGGCCCTGTACAGCGTCCCGCGAGGCCACACCCAGCTCTCAGGCTCCGCCCACTCAGGCATGATGGGAGTCAACTCCTTCACCGGGCAACTGTCCGTCAACGTCACCGAGCCAGCACAAGCTAATCAAGGTATTACTACTAATGATTACTTACAACTTAATTATATATTTGAATACATGTTTTAGTCATATTTCTACAATTTATCACTTAATTAAACTTAATTAAACCCTAACCCTGATGAAATATGATTACTTAGCCAGCAACTCTATTAAATAAAACAAGTACACAGGACTGTACACTCCTGCAGTCGTACTGTTGTAATTTATAATCCATAATGTATCCTACTTTAGGCCAAAGTTGCTGGGATAAACTCTACTGACAGCTCCATCTTGACTTTTACTTGAGCAAATTGTCCCTATATTCTACTTTGAGCAAAGCATTTCTTTTCTCTGCAATTGTCTGGACATATTACAACATTTTTCTGTTCATTTTTCTATATCCATTAGAAACTGTTGAAAGCCCTTTTAGAGCCTGGTGTTGCAAATCGGCCTTGGCTTTAAACATGATAATGACATTGGGCTACTTTGACAAGCTCAGTTTTTGAAAAGATAATCTATAAAAAAGTCCTGCACTAAGTCCAAATGTTTGGTCACTGGACATTTGATGAATAAAACCTTAAATGAATAGTGTGTGTTTGTGTTTAGGGTTTGTGCGCAGCTCGAGCAGTGTGTCTCCTCACGGGTACGTGCCCAGCTCCACGCCTCAGCAGAGCAGCTACACCTCGGTCAGCTCCTCCATGAACGGATACAGCAACAACAGCGCCATGACCAACCTGGGAGGCTCGCCCACCTTCCTCAACGGGTCTGCCGCCAACTCGCCTTATGCCAGTGAGTGCTCCAACACAACGCGTCTTTTATACTGCCACATATTATTATTGTTTTATAGTTTGTTGGTTTTGTTTTACTCTGATTTTGGAAAATTACTATGAATTATATGATTTAATTAATTCTTGTTTACATCTTTATCTCTTACTAATATTTCTTTGCCTTTAGTATTCTAAAACTGCTATTTTTGTACAATACCGTTACTATACATTACACCTGATAACGTAAGCGTAACTGTATACCACTGGACAGGCAGAAGAAGTACAGAGATGGCCCCATGGGGATTTCTGCAAAAACACACTTTACTTTGATTTAATTGCATCGTTTTACCATAATCACAAGGACAGGAAGAAAGAGATTCAAGTTAGTTTGGGGGTTTTCTTAATTAGAACAATGAAGGTGACTCTTAGATTGAAAAGTTTTCAAAGTGTCAATCCACTTAATTACATTGGATCTATATGGGTACTGCTTATTTATTTTATCCACTCTATCCAATCAGAACGCAGAAAGAGCTCCTCATTGGCTGCTAGATGCTACAGCCAAAACCAGTTGGCAGTAAACCCAAAAGAGTTCTTTAAGCAATGATGGTTACTCTGTATATGGCAGCTCATAACAATAAGGTTCATTTGTGGTTGTATATTTGTAAACCAGTAGGAGAGCATGTTACAGTTATTACCTTTACCTATTGCTTGATAAGACCCATGCTTTTTTGCTTATTAAATTCTTTGTCCCCCCTCAGTTGTCCCGTCCAGTCCCACGATGGCCTCCTCCACCTCTCTCCCGTCCAACTGCTCGTCCTCCTCTGGGGTCTTCTCCTTTTCTCCAGCCAACATGGTGTCCGCCGCCGTCAAACAGAAATCTGCCTTCGCTCCAGTCGTCCGGCCCTCCTCCTCCCCGCCTCCCTCCTGCACCAGCGCCAACGGCAACGGCCTACAAGGTACACACTCGAAATCAGCTGCCGGTGTCATGGCATTATTAGTGGAATAAAAGACACAACGAAACTGGTCAACTTTCATCATCAAGTTCTTATATGTAATTCATTTATATAAATATGTTGACTAAGTTTTGAATAGTATGAAGTTAAGAAGTGTGCTGATGTAACTGTGAGAGAGAGCAAGTTTAATTTGTTTTTAGTCCTACATTTTAACAACATTATAATTCACTTTACAGCATCCTTTTTATTTTTTATGATAACTTATTGCAATAATATATTAGTGGTGGGCATATAAGGGCCAATGTAGGCTAATATTTTCTCCAGAGGTCCATCCCTTGCATGTCTTATACTTACTTAGTGCAATAGCCGAAGGTTCTGTATGAGTTATTTCAGTTTTCTTTTCATCCCTTTCTCTGTTTGACTTTCATTTCTAACATTTTTTTTCTCTTTTTTTCCTCTTGTGGTCTCTGCCTTTGTCTAGATCAAACCTTTGTGGACTCTAGCAAGTACTCATCAGCCAGCTCTCTACAAGGACTGGCCTTCTCCTGAAGTATGTTTAGTCACAAACTCACTAACAACCTCTGCATGGTTTTATGAGATGTACTTTTTAATATATCTTTTAGTATCTTTTTAGATATTTATATTTTTATAATACATTTAAGACATTTTGATATCTGTTTACAACTGTAGAAAACTAGGGCTGGTCTTAATTACTGAGCTGAGAAAGGAAAGGAAATGAACAATTACTACTACATTACTTTATAAAAGAATTAGCATATATATAATGTAACTATTAACATCAGTCGGTATCGGTCAGGATTGCTTAAGAATAAAAAACAGAGGTTTTTAGTGTTGGACAGTGTTATGTTGTGGTAACATTACTCAAACAGGAAGTGGTTTTGAATGTGTATATAACTTCTTCAACATGTCCATGTGAAGTTATGATGAGCTCTGCGTGGGTGTGGGAACTCAAATCCTCAAAGCAGCACGAATAAACACAGACCAGTCACTCGTTACCAGTGTTACATGATGGACTTTCACCAGTCAGCAGAGGGGGGACAGTATTGTACTTGAGTTAAAGTACTGTTACTTTAAGATTATAAAATTCAAGTACAATATTCAAGCGACTTCAGTAGTTACTCTAGTAAGAAAAGAAAATAACAGAACTTCAACTAAAAAACAGTTGGCAAGGCAAGTTTATAGGACACAAAATAATTCAGAATGTCCATAAGTGCGCAGTACCTACATACAGTAAGGACTAATGATTTATAATTCAGTGTTGATGTAATATGACTTACAGAACATTAAATAATGCACAGATTCAGGAATTTCCAAAGAACAGCCAATAAAAAATGAATGCATATCTGAAGGTGAGGTGCAAGAAAGGTCATGGGTTCAGATTATTTAATAATGTCAACACAGAGCCTATATGACTTATAGACTTACTCACAGTGGAATGAGTAACCAAAACTGACTAAGACTACTATTACTTCAAAGCGTATTTCCAATAGAAGTAAAGTAAGTATGGTGTCGGGAAGTACTGAGCAGTAGAATTAGAAGTAAAAGTGGCTGACGGCTTCTCCATGTACACCTAACATAACATTACTCAATAAGTTATCTAAAAGAAAATAGCTCTTATTCTCTGTTCTTTCAAATAATAACTTCCCATGAAATTATAATCTTTTTTTCCATTCACACCCCTCCCTTGGGTTTAAAGACAACATTTGCCATGCAACAGTCTGTCTCATAGACTTACAGCAATATGCCAACTGTTCCCATGCATTTTCAAAGACATGATTTGATTGATTCATTCCTGTTTTGATGTTTTAAGAGTCACGCAGCTGCACAGATGGGACAAAATATTTACAAGACTTTTTTTTTTATTTTTATGAGTCTAAAAATATTTGGCAGCGTTTAGTAATTTCTTGTTTTTTCATCCCTTTAACAGCTATCCCAGGAATGATTGTCCCGCCCATGTAAAGGTGCAGAGGGAAACGGACTGCTCGGATTTTGAGACAAACTTTGGTGCAAGAAGACTCCGGTTTGGGGACATTAAAACGTGTCTCATTTTTGAAGGAACTCAAACTCAACTCAGGCCCTTTCTATCTAAACATTTAAAAACTAACACACGGACTGAAAATCTGTTGGTTAGACTTTGTACACGTTTTATAGGATTACATACAAGCTCTCCGCAGACTGTAAACAGGAAATGTATTTATTTTGGAGGGAATCTACTTCCTGTCTCGAGTGAATTTACTTTTTGTGCAACATTTTAAAGTGTGATAATCATAAGTGTAACCTATGTGAGGGATTTTTATTTATGAAGGATAAAATGTGAAGAAAGACACTTGATGATGATGATGATGATGATGATGATGAAGACCTTTGAACAAAAATATGGGTCAAATCCTGGAGACAAAGTTGAGCCATATCAGGAGAACATGTGCTAAACTATTGCCAAACACTATACTATACTTTGTAAACATACCAACGCTCTCGTACTGATAATAAGATTTTCTGATTTACCCTTGATAAGCCTGGTCTTTTCTCCCAAGCATACTGCCATCTTGAATGTTTACTCTTGGCAATACTCAGTGCACATTCACTTGGCCTCAAAAACAAAGAACTATGCAGTAACATCAATGAAGATCAATTTAATTAATATTTCACATTATCTCAAACTAATTAGTACAGAAATTTACATTTATTTGAGCTACATTTCTTGGCAATTCTTTACATTGCAAGAGAAAACAACAAGTCCATTCTGCTCATTTTTTTCTGAATGGGTTCTTAAAGGAGCACTATGTAACTTTTCTGGTATAGGAGGGTACACCACCTGCTTGTCTCCTCGCATGAGATGCTATTGCTTTACCTGGAATGTTTCACAGTGGCTTTAGACCGATATGTTGTATTTATTTAGTCACAGTTGTTTTAAATGGTAAATAATATGTCCAAAACATGCAGCGATGCCTTTCCACAGATCTGAACTGTAACTTATCACCAGCTTGTCTTTATTTTTATAGATAGGTCTAAATAGAGACAAGCAATTCAATGCAATATAAGTTATATATACCATAAGATAGAATTTATCCCCGAGGAGCATTTTAAGTAGCCAGGCTGGTGCCACCTAGTGGCTCAATTTAATTTCTCTCCAGCGACTAGGTCAGGAATCAGAATACAATAAACGGTTCACAAAAATCCCGGAAGTTCGAGTTCGGGCACCAGCCAATCAGCAAAGAGCCATACATTCTGTGTTGCCGGAACAAAGAGAATGTTTGGTGAATTTTATCAAGGGGAAAGACGTTATTGCCCTTCTTCCTATGGGATTTGAGAAAAGCTTAATATACGTTACGCATTACATACGTCACAGCCAAATAGCAGCAATTGGTTAAATGAAAAATGGTACCCGCCTACCGTCGAGCGAACGAATTCTAATGCTGCAAGGTCAGACGGTTTCTTTGAAGTGAAACCGGCTGATGAATCATGCTACAATTTAAGCACATTGAGCAGTTAAAATTATAAATAATAATAATAATAAATGGCTCAAATAAAGGTTTTAGTACAATTTAATAGGAGAATTAGTCAAATAGGGTCAGCAGATCCTGTGTCAGGGCAATTTGAGGAGAGCAACAACCATCAGGACAGAAGTGTCCCTCATCCGTGTCCTGGTGCTGCCCAGTGATCATAATCAGTGCACAGGGAGAGCATTGTGGTGGACACTGAACCAAAAAAAGTTACATAGTGTATCTAAGTCTATTCATACCATAAATCCACCTGTTTGTTTACAGATTTACTCTTTTATGTGAAATGCCATTGCCACGTGCCACAGTGTCTCCATGTGCCACAGTCTCAGGATTTGACCCTCTGCCACAGAAGCCCTGAGGTCAAACAGGGGCTCGTCTTAAACTCTGCTGCCACTCACACTCTGTCTTAACCTGTTTGTGTGTGTTTGACTGTGGTGAGGTGCCATTCACGCTGTGTTTCTTTCACTTTGATTTCAACTGTGTGTCTTAAAGCTGCACTGTAATAATGTCTTACAAGAACACACTTAATGGAATTTTAAATCTAAATTTTACATACATTTCCTTAAGAGAAGTGAGACGGACTGTCCATTCGGCTATCCCAGATACTTACCTAAACATTAAGTGAGAATTTGAAACTTGCCACTGAGTTCATAAACATTATTACTTTTTCAAATTATTATAAAGGAAGTTAGACATTATTTGCAGTGCTCAGTTCTGTGTCTTAAACATAGACATAGAGGAATAATGGATCAGTGGATAGTTTTAAAATATTCAACTACCTATACTTTTTAACACCTCATATTTAAGTTATATTTCATCTTTATTTAAAAAGGAAATTTACAAATACCAGTCTCTGTACAACTACACTATACTTTGTTCTCATCTTGCCAAAGTTAGCACACGCCTGTTTTGTAGGCTCCACAAAAATCCACTGGTCCATTGTTTCTCAGGTTTCTCTGGTCTTAAACTTTGTGGTTGCTCACTGTGTGGAGTGTGATTCAAGTCTTAAAACACTTTTGATTTTGCCAAGGTTTGAATTTTGATTTGCCTAAAACAGTCTTAGCCACATCTTGCCATACACTGTAAAACCAGTCCACACTTATATCATCTGCGCCTCTGTGAAGGTTCGATCCGTAGCCAAACGATCAAAACGTACTTTGGATCTACTGTCTAAAATTTTTTGAATATTTCTAACAGACTTCTCTAAACCTGACTAGCCACAAACAGATTTAACTCTCAATCAAATAGCAACATTTGTCAGGAAAATATAGCTACTGTGAATTGTAGTAATGAAGCTCTTACCTGGGAAAGTCCAAAACAAAAATACTCCTTCCTTCACCTTTTTAATGTTCTCAAATGTTAAAAGCCATTATCTAACTGCTCAATTGGACAACACTTTATAAAAACTACAAACTACGCAGTCGGGTTTTATTGTAGTAATTTAACATTTATACAAGCCTACAATTGTTTTTTGTTTGTCCATAAATTGTAGTACACCTCTGCATAGTTTTCACAGTAGTTTTTTCTAAAGTGCTGCTCAAATGAAATACAAAAAGCCATGTACTATGTAATTTAAGTCTGCAGTTTTCTCATCGTGTCCCATGTTGTTCAGAGTTGGAGTTATAGCATGGTTTTGTTGGATTTTAGCTGTAGATTTTATAAAGTGTGTGTCTTTGAATGTCTCTGTGTGTCTTCCGTGTGATGGAGCCAAACTGAGGCAATGCTAAGAAGCGAGCAAATTCTTCCTCCGTCGGGATCAATCTGAACCTGTATTGTCCACACCTCCATTTGAAATCCCTTCTTCCCTACCTTCTTTTATCATATAGTTTTTCTCCTTCGCTATTCTTTCTTTCTCAACCCCGCTTCGATATTTGGAGAATATGAGAAATGTTTGAGCCTAGTGCTGCACTGAATCCCAATATATCAATCATATTTTCTGCCATCTTACTCACTTTTCTTTGCTGTCTATCTCAACATCTGTACTTTTCTTTTTTTTTTTAATACAAGCATCATCTGGAGTAGTATTTGCGTGCACTTACGTACCACTCAGACTAAATCCGATCTAATTAATTATAGTAATGAAGGTCGAAACCATGACTAAACTTAATGACCAGGATGAAAATAAAACATAAACATCAGCTGATTTCTTTAATTTGATCATCTTGAAGGGATCTTATTTAAAATTGCACTTTTTTTTTTTTCTTGCTTTGCCTGGAATGTTCCATAGTGTCAAACAAACGTGAGCAGGGTCCCTCTTCACCATCTCTGTCTCCATGGAGATAGTTAAGTTTAATGCCATACCGTGGGACTTTCTAGGTAATCGTGGTAGATCCTCTAGCAGAGAAGTTGCGTAATGCACCTTTAAACAGAAGGAGGAACCACAATCTCAAGTAACATTTTTTTTTTTTTTACTACCCAATTTTTTTAGCTTTTACCTTTCGTTCTAATCCTCTACTCTACTCTCTTTCTTGATTTTTTCTTTGTAAATTGAGCCACATTTATCTCTGGATGGATCCTCAGACCACTGTCTTCTATTGAATGTGACTCTTAAAGTGACAGTACACATATACGTAACAGCACAGGTTTCGAAGGAGCACGTCTAAAGTTCTTGTGATGATGTAGATAGGTGCCCGCAGCTCTTGGTCCTGGCCTCAGTGTCTTCATGCATATACAACACGAACAGCGCAGGTGGAAGAGAACAAATGAACTACTGTAAAGATGATGCAGTTTTTTATTATTATTTTGAACTTTGAAGTGTAAGATAAACTTTTTGACTCTCACTATATTTAATTAAAGTTTTCTCTTCTCTGTGAAAACGTCTGTGATCTGATTATTTACTGTAGTTTGATAATATGGGATAAGCAGTGTTCTTGGGCATATAAATGTGTAACATATGTATGAATTGTCAACAAAAATTTTAGAGTAGTATTTTCTTTTTTTGTTTTTTCTTGAATTTGGGGCAACTCATTTTTAAACGAGGAAAGGAGGAGGTAGGTATCTATTTCGTTCTTGGCAAAAGAAATTTCAGCAGTTAGTTTTAGTCACTCCTAAAACTTCCAGTTGACAGACAAAATGTTCTTCTGCATTGGAACGATGACAGGGATTCCACAGATATCCTGTTCCTTGTTCTCACAAACTCTTTGGCACGTTGCGAGTGTTCACATGCATGAATTTTGGGGCTCATGCACAGCTTTAGGGATAAATCATAAAATAACCAATTTACAAGAATAAAGCCGGACAGCTCAGCTTTAAAGAACATATATTGTTTGTGTGTCAGCTATATGGTTATAATTTATGACACCCAAGGATCATTATGCTATAATTTGGACATTTTAAATCACAATATTTATCTAAAACATCAAATCCGTGTATCATTTGTTCATTTGAAAAAAATAAGAAAAAAAATAAATAAGAAAACAAAAAAACAACAATCTTCTTCATTATTTGTCCCCAAAACCAAAATGAAAAAATGGATAACAATTCATTTTTTTCAATTTGCGGTTTTGTGTTTAAATGAATAATGGAAAAAAAGGGATAACGGCCGTTTCTTCTTTCTGTGACTTACACTGCGATGCTGGACTTTTGCGCCACATACAGACTAAACCAGGTCTAAACCAGGTCTAAACCAGGTCTAAAACAAGACTAAATCAGGTCTAAAACAGGACTAAAACAAGACTAAACCAGGTCTAAACCAGGACTAAAACAAGACTAAACTAGGTCTAAAACAGGACTAAAACAAGACTAAACCAGGTCTAAACCAGGTCTAAACCAGGACTAAACTAGGACTAAACCAGGACTAAACGGGTCTCAGTCCCGGCCTCAGTCCTGATCTTGTCTAGGTCTAAGTCCCGGTCTCAGTTATGGTCACCCCACAGTCTACGCAGGCAGAAATCCAATACTCAGTCCTGGTTCAGTCCTGGTTCAGTCCAGCATCACAGGGAAATGGGAAACGGCCGTTATCCATTTTATCCATTATTCATTTAACCACAAAACTGAAAACTGAAAAACTAATTGTTATTCATTATTTTCATTTTGGTTTTGAAGACAAATAATAAAGAAAATAGTTGTTTTTTCATTTTCTTATTTTTGGCTTTATTTTGAAAAACGTACATCACAACAAAGAGCTGTGCAGTTGACTGGCACTTGGCACTTCTTATGGACAGTTGTAGATCACACATTGAGTATCAAATTTTAATTTCATTCATACCAAAATAACTATAGGAGATGCTGATGAATCCTACACGTATATTTAAAAGTACTTACGGAGCAGTGAGCGTATTCAACTGGTGGTGAAAACAGGAGTATAAATAGTACTCAAACATAAAAGAATCACTCTACAACTTGGAGAGGGTAAATGAGAAGGGAAAAAATGGTTAAAATCTCGAAAATGTAGATTTTGCATAATGGGTCTGCTTAAAATTTGATTATAATACAGCATATTCATATTTGAGGACACATTTTTTTATTATTATATTGACATGTTTTTTGTTTTTTTACAGATACTAACAAATTTCCATGAGTAATAAGTTCATTTTTTTCACCTGTACACCACTATACACAGAATAATTCATGGGTTTTCTATTCACCGCTCAGACAGATCTTCAAAATGTTCATCAGCATGCCCCCCTCTTTGTCTGGCCCTGTGATGGCGGCCTTCAGCTGTCCTGTGTTTGCTTCATAAACAATAACAAACACAACAGCGGTGTCCATGGAGACGAAGGGTAATGAGACAGATGAGCCCTGCCCCCAGGCCCCTCCCAGCAGCACCACGGGGCACCCCAAAAGAGGACGTCCCACCACTTAGAGCCTGCCAAATCACTGCACCCTATTTGTACCCATAACTTTGTGTATATGTGATACTGTGTGTAACGTTAGTGAGAAGTAGGAGTATGTTTTTTCCCAGTTCCTTGCCTGCAGGCTAAATTTCGGTACTACAGGACATGCTCATTTCCATAATCATTTGGTGTGTGCGTTTATGGTTTTGTGTGTGCGTTTAGTGTGACTGTGTGTAATGTTGTGTTTTTTCCCAGTTCCTTGCCTGCAGGCTTAATCAAACTGAAGCCACAGATGTCTTATTGACACCAATTAGTTTGTGTCTCTTGGCTCTTTCTCACACACGCTCACACACATGTACAATACAGAGGAGGAGCGGCCATATTTGTTTAATCTCGTAGCTGAAGAGGTCGAGGTGTGGATAGGCGTGAATTAAAACTAAATGAACAAAAAACATGCCAAATAAATAAATGTGTACATTATTTATTAGCAAACACTTCATCCTGGCACACTTTACTGAAGAAAAGACCTTTTAAGAAAATGTTAAGAAAATGTTAAAGGGATAGTTCGGATTTTTTGACATAAATCTCTATGGCATCCCCGTCATCAGTGTTGTGCATCCACACCGACTTCCCCCCCGAAAGCGTCCGGTGAGCCGAGATACTGGCCCGTTTTGGTGCTGAGGAAAGTAGTTCGGCAAGTTGTGTGGGGACTGTATACTAAAGCGTTTTTCTTCTCAAAGCAATATGTGTTCAAAAGAGTGATACATTTGCATCACAAAACCATCGTCGCCAAAAAAGTCAGATCTCATAATCGCTTGGCGCTATTTTCTCTCCGTACGTACCACTGCGCGCGGCCGCCAGGTGACAGCCGCGCACCGATCCATCACTTTCTTCAGTTGTTCGGCAGTGTTTACATGCGCAGACTGCCGCCACGCGAGAGAGCCGCGCGCAGTGGTACGTACGGAGAGAAAATAGCGCCAAGCGATTATGAGATCTGACTTTTTTGGCGACGATGGTTTTGTGATGCAAATGTATCACTCTTTTGAACACATATTGCTTTGAGAAGAAAAACGCTTTAGTATACAGTCCCCACACAACTTGCCGAACTACTTTCCTCAGCACCAAAACGGGCCAGTATCTCGGCTCACCGGACGCTTTCGGGGGGGAAGTCGGTGTGGATGCACAACACTGATGACGGGGATGCCATACAGATTCATGTCAAAAAATCCGAACTATCCCTTTAAAGAAATATATTGGAGATTGTACTTGGTTATTTGGCTGATATGTGCAGTTTTTATATTATGGCTGATGTTTCATGATGTAGTGTACACTGGACCTGGACGGTGTTATGTATGTGGGACCAATAGTATTATGCAGGCACAGTTAGTAATGTTGTAACAGAATGATAGATTAAAAAGCATCACCCACCTCATATCTTTATATCAGATTTTAAGGAAGTTTTATTTATTTTACTTATTGCACGAGAAACAAATAAGATTTTAGGCATGAGATATTCTGGGGATGCACGCAGGTGAAAGCAACTCGGGGGGGGTCCTAATTGTGTCTGGACGTGAGTCATATATGGTGCCTGGCATGGTCATAGATGTGTCTCTTCTGTTTCAGGTGAGAAATGACAATTTAAGTGAATATTTCTTTTTGATAAGTATAATTTTGTAAGTTAGACGCATCCTATGTGGTGTGACCTAATTGTAAAGTGTGCCTACATTTGAATAGGATGGTCAAAGATGTGTCTCTTGTGTTTCAGTGCATACGGCATTAAATGGAAGTAAACATACACTCTCTGAAGCCTTTTTAACCGACCACAAGTGCTACATATATGGACTTTTAATTTATTATAATGTAATGTTTTTATTATTGAACTGTAATGCTCACATGGACTAGAAACCTAGTGCCTCTGCTCAATTTCATTTCCCTCCAGCGACTAGGTCAGGACTCAAAATACTCTAGATGGTTCACAAAAACCCTGGATGTGCGAGTTTGGGCACCAGCCACTCAGTGAAGAGCCATACATTCTGTGTCGGCAATGATTCCTGAGACTGAGGATTTAAAGCCGGAACAAATAGAATGTTTGGTGAATTTTATCAAGGGGAAAGACGTTATTGTCCTTCTTCCTACGGGATTCGGGGAAAGCTTAATATACCAATTAACCCTGTTAGCGGCGCATTACATACGTCACGACCAAATAGCAGCGATTGGTTAAATTAAAAAAGTACCCACATACTGTCGAGTGAACGAATTCTAATGCTGCGAGGTGATGAATCAGGCCACACTTGGACACCAAGAAGAACATTGTTTACCTCTATAAAAACTAATTGGGAATATAATAAATAAGTAAATAAATAAATACAATTGTGCGCAGACACTGAAAGAGCATGCCAATAAAAAAAATAAAAAGCCCAGGAATCAAATCCAAGATATTTTCCTATGATCTTGCTGCCAAATACTATAATGACTTGTTAATGTCTTTTGTGCATGATTTACCAAATTCGTAATTTATTGCTCACGTCCTCCTTCATCCATTGTTCCAACTGTGATTTTCTTACTTCTACATCTGTCCTGGAAAGAGCATTAGAATCAATCCTTTAAAAGGTGAGTTTGTTTTGATCATCTTTAAGCTCTTCAGATTTCAGCACTTTTGGATTTGAGCCAAACTAAATATTGAGCACAAAAAGTGGTTCACTAGTCCCTCTCCTGGTGCGGCGCGTGCGGTTGTGTTGTGTGCAAATTTGGAGAGATTCAACATATGTGGGGACTGAAATCTTTAGTACTTCTCTACTCTACTACGTCGAAGAAAAATTAAGAAGTAGGTTTATTTAGGCTGAGGTAAAGGTTAGGGTTAGGTTGTAGGCAAATAGTTATTATGACTAAGGTTGTGATCTGTCTCCAGGAAATGAATGAGGGTCTCTGTGATGTCTCTTCAAAGCAAGTAAACCTAGTGTGTGTATGTTGATGTGATTGTGTGCGTTGTGTATGTGTTTGTGTGCGTGTGTATGTGTTTGTGTGCGTTGTGTATG